GCAATGTTAGTACAAACGCCACTTTAGCCTGTTCAGTCTCGAATGTGCGTGGTTGCAGAGCGAAATGCATCGAGCAACGGGTCAGAAATGCTCTACAAAAGGCCGGTTCGCCAGAATAGAGTTCCGGTACCGGCAAGCGGGGCTCGGACGTCACGGGTCTCTCTGGAAGTGTGGGGGGAACGGTCGGTGTGGGCGGCGCAGTGGGAACCTGAAGCCGTTGGATATGCTGGGTGAGCTCGGACACCTGCGTCACCAAGGCTTGCACTGCGCGACCTGTATCGCTGATCTCTTTCTGCTGGGCATCCATTCTCCTGGTGCTGTGATGAATAAATTCCTCCATCGATCTCTGAGGCGAACTCGCTGCTTCCTTCCTTAGGGTCAGATCGTTCTGTCACGGGGTGTAACGAACCACAGGAAGCAATAGCAAGTTGACAATATTTATTGGTGTCTCACACACGCTCTCACAGAGTCGGCAGTGCAAACAGGTGGAACAGTGACACAGGGACAAGATGGTCAGAATCCGTGGTGAAGTGAAGTGATGACACGGTGAAGAGACGAACGAAGAACACTGGAATCCAGACGATGACACGGGAACACAAGGCAGGAACTCGACACCGGCAAACCAACACGAACCACATGAAACAACGATCTGACAAGGATGAAAGAACAGCGGTGAGTATAAATAGAGTGGTGATGATCAACTGCAGCTGGTGATGTGATGATGAACAGCTGGAGCGGATCAGGTGATGTCATACAGACACGCCTCTCACACACGTGCATTCATACAACAACAAAAACACAAGACTATGAGGAAACAGAGAAACGTCTACCGTGACAAACAGAGGATGTGATTGGATAACTGGACTAACCAGTGGACTATTTTCATTGCACAGCATCTCAAATGTCTGAAATGTCTGAGTCAAAGTCTATGATCAAAATAGTTGTGTTTAATTACCTCCCAGAACCGTCTCAAAGATTCCCAGATCAGTCTGAAATATAGTGCTTGAGTCAAACGAACATGTCCTTATTTCTCATGAGAGACCTTGGCAAATCTGTTTTAAGTTAGGTTTCTGTTTAGCATTAAACATTTATGCTCCCCTCTAATTCTTTGTAAATCCTTCATAGGCTACAAAAGAGCTGCTGTGTAATCATCTCTACTGCAAGTTTGCTTAAATCCCGTCTCTAAACCATCTGCTCCATTTACTCAAGCTTAATAAAGGATTATGGCACTGGATTATGGGGGTCTTGTTAACAAACCATGATACTACAGAGAAGGCTTAGATAGATACGTATTGCTGAATTTTACAATACAAGACTGCAGTTCTACTGGATTTCTGCTCATATGGTCCTCTTAAGCCATTCACTTCGCTCTTGGTATGAAGTCAAGAAATGTCAGCGCTAATAACTCTGAGATGATGCAGGAGGGAACCAGTGTGGGGGAAGGAGGCCAAACACCTGGCACACTTAGAGAAATAGAAAGAGAGAGAGAAGCACTAATGGGATATTAATAAGCCCTTTATGAGGCTGAAACTACATTACTGTTCTGGCAACAATGTCCACTATTACGAAAGCAGTACAATGCTTGAGCTGTGTTTAAATTGACTTTTGTTTATAAATGCTTCTTTAAATGTGTGCTTATGGTGGTCATGTTGTAAAAGATCGTATTTATGAGTCAAACTCACATGAAGCAAATACGAGTGGGAAGCTTGTGATTTTACTTCAAGCCCAGAGTTTATGAGTTTATATATAGGTATTTAGCAGCGACTTTTTCAGGCCTTTTTATTGACAACAAAATAAGCTTAAAATAGCATTGTAATTTAACAATAAAATATGTAACGATCAAAATTAGTTGGTTAGTTCACCCCCCAAAAAGAAAGAAAATTCTGTCGTGAATTACTCACCGTCATGTCGTTCTAAACCCGTAAGATTTTCTTTCATCTTCCGAACACAAATGAAGATCTTTTGGATGAAATCTGAGAGATTTCTGTCCCTCCATTGACAGATACGCAACTACCATTTTGATGCTTTAAAAGGTTCATATAAAGAGATCGTAAAACTAATCCATATGAACTGAGTGGTTTAGTCCAAATTTCCTGAAGAGACACAATCGCTTTATATGATGAACAGATTGAATTTAGGCTTTTATTCACATTTAAACATTGATCAGGGAACATAAACAGAAGCTCAACTGAACCTTCTTGACACGCGTGAACAAACCTCTTGCGTAAACTCAGACGCGCTGTGTAACACGAGAATGAAGCTCATTGGTCTTCGCACATCAAGTGAACATGCTTGAGCTTCTGATGTATGTTGATTAATGTTTATATGTGAATAAAAGCCTTAAATTCAATCTGCTCATCTGATCGTGTCTCTTCAGAACATTTGGACTAAACCACTCAGTTCATATGGATTAGTTTTACTACGACTACTCAAAGTGTCAGTTGCGTAGCTGTCCATGAGAGTACAGAAAGATATATTAATTTGAGTTTCCGAAGATGAACGAAAGTCTTATGGGTTTGGAACAGAATTTTCATTTTTGGGTGAATTATCCCTTTCAAAAAAAGAAGAAAAAGAAAAAAACACCTGATGCACTTTTTTGTTATTCATTTTCTAAAAATAAAGTTTAAAAACTTGCTGTATTTTTGTGTAGTTATTTGAGAGAAGGCACACCGCCATCTTTTTTCACGAAAGTGACTTGAACGCACCTGACGTCGTAAACACGACTTCCCAGCTCGTAAATACGAACTTCCCAGGAGGACTTTACTTGAATGCATCATTATACTGAATGGTCACTGTGCTGTAGTTGTTCAGGTTTTTAGAGCTGCTGTCATTACATGGCAGTTCAAATTTGGGTCAGTGGGCATTGGCAAGTCAGTTGTGAAGAAAATATTTTTTGTTTGTTTTACTCTACAGCCAGATCGATATACAAACAAGTTAAGGGACACTTAATTGGCGAAACTCCATTCTGAAATGAAAGGTCTTACACAGTCCACATACAGCAGCCCCAAAGAGTATTTCGACACTTATACTTGCTTCAACTTTAGACTTTTTTATTTCCCATGAGGTATTTGAAGGTCACATTAAAACTGTTGTATCAGGTCTTTAGAATTTATTTTAGCTGCTTTTGAAATTCCTGTGCATAGATTTGATTGTTTTATCCTTGTCTCAGAACAAGACCTTCAATTTATAAATATGAAAAACCATAATAGAAATAAAAAAGTTAACAAATAAAACAATGAAAATCTAAACAAAGGGTGAACTAAAGAAAACATTTCCATATTTATTGCGAGAAAATTATTTTATTTATTTATAAAAAAAATATCACTTTTGGTGCATAATTTACAATCAAGCTGTAATTTGTATACAGAAAGTGTGAAATATTTAAGTGTGAAATTAAAGTGTGATATTTTTGCATAAAATACTAGCTAAACCATTAGCCATAACAAGAGGCTGTTTAATTTAAAAAAAACAAATTAAAAATGTAATTTCCATCACTGAATTATTTGAAGTGTCCATAGTCAAAGAAACACCCATAAATGTATGCATTATATAAAATAATAAGTTACTGATAATTAAAGTGTCCAAACAAGTGAAATATACCATATAGTATTTAAAAATGGGGAAAAACAATATTTGTGTAAATATGTGATGTATAAATGTATAATGTATAAACATTTTAAGATGATCCTTATGCAAAAATATTTGACATTTCTACATTTAAGCATTTAAATGAGCTTAAAAAGCTTTTCATGATTAGTAATCCCAACATTTTTTCTTTTGTCAAATCAACTTAAATAATTTATTTAGGTCAGATAACATATAATTGTGAGTTTCTGATGATCCTCCTTCATTGTATTAACTCACTTTTTCCATTTCAATGAACTTAAAATTTTAAGGCAACCAGGTTACTTACTTTTAAAAGTTAAACCAACAATATTTTTTACAGTGTAGTTTAACTAAAATGTGAACATATATGAACTATACCTGTGGTTACTCGGACAGGACAGAGTGGAAATGACTTCATATCCATGAAATAAAACTCAACTTGACACCGGTTTCTTACAATTTTAGCTATAATCCTTCTTGTTTTGATATTTTGTGTTGTGATACAGTCGTGACATTATTCGGACATTTTCAAGTTTGCCTGAAGTGTACAAATACTTGTTTATCATTTGAATACCTACAAGTAAAGCAAGGTGGGACATTCTTACAGTACAAAAAGAAAGAAATTAGTATTTGTATCTGTTATTACCAGCACCCTTTCAGTTTCATATCCAAATTCTGAGATCGAAAAGCTATTGATTTATCTTTTTTGAGTTTTTTCAAAATTCGTGTTATCACAATTTGGACAGGCAGGTCTTTCACATTCCTTGCCATGCGTAAAGGATGTTTTCAACCTATTCTCCACCTTGAACTACCGTTCCTCGCGCTCAAGGACGTTTGCATGTGACGTTGCAATCCCTGGCCTTGTGAACCAACACCATTCATAGCTTCCCTTTGTCATTTTTCCCATTGCCATTTCAGACTCTTATGAAGCCAAATATTGAAGAAGAAAAAAAAGGGGGCAGTGGGGAGAAAAAAACACCTTTTGTGTGGCGTGAAATGAAATTTGGGTCTAAACAGGTTTAGTGGCCTTGGGAATTATTGTAGGTTTTGCCGGTCAAATTATTATTATTTATTTAACAAAACAGTATATTTAAGGGGATGTTAAAATTCGGATGTGAGGTGTGTGTCAGTTAGGTGGGCAGTGGGGGTTTGACTGTATTACCTTGTTTTTTCTTTCTTCCTCCATCTCTTTCGCATATAAAGACGTGACTCACTGATAACAGTGCTTATAAACCATCCGTCCCTCATCGGAACAACTGAGACGCTACCTCTTCACAGTTTGGAGTATACATACATAAACTTGCATATTACGTGACAACCCTTTGTGATCTGTTGGACATTGGCACCGGAAGAAAGACAACCTTAAAGTGGTTATTTTTTTTCCTTTTTCTAAGTTTGTAGTGCTTGGATTCCCCTCCCCAGGGGAGAGAAACCTGTGACACCAGCGTTTGAAGACCATGACATCCAACATTTCTTTCTTTCTCTGCCTGTTGTTGGTGTCTCTGGGTTCGACTGCAGTCATCACCGGGGTGAGTGACCCTTACAACTTGCAGGTCCAGGCTGGTGGATTGAACACTGTAGAACACTAAATTATTTCTTTTGTTTATTCATTCCTAATAGTAATATTGTTTGGAAATCACTGTTTGAGTGTCAAATTTGATTGAATTATACATTTCATTTGAGGTATTTCTTTACAATTATTTACTGCATCTATACATTTTAAGTGCCATCGATGTGTAAGTTTTGAGGTTGACCTTTTTTTTCATTCCACTATGTAAAACAAATTACAGTATATTTAATTTCTGCAGTGTAGAACTATCATTAGAGTAAAACTGAGTTTATTATTCATGTATGTTAGATAGATAGATAGATAGATAGATAGATAGATAGATAGATAGATAGATAGATAGATAGATAGATAGATAGATAGATAGATAGATAGATAGATAGATAGATAGATAGATAGATAGATAGATAGATAGATAGATAGATAGATAGATAGATAGATAGATAGATAGATAGATAGAAAATGCTGATTATTTTTACAAAATAAGAGGGATCATAAAAATTGCATGTTTTTTTTTTTTTTGTACTGCCCCGAATAACCATTTTCACATGTATACATTATGTATATTTATTTATATTTATTTATTTGTTTGCTTTTGGTTCAGGAACAATAGACTGTTGATTTTTTTTCTCATTATTCATAATGCTCTTTTTATTAAACTTATTATAGGAGTCAAGTCATTCGTTATCATCAAGCCTCAATCTTACAAAAGTTTACCATGTTAATTGAAAAAAAGAGGATTTGCTGGTTATTATGTATCAATAGAAAAGGAAAAAAAAAAGAAGAAAAAGCATGGCAGATGATTTCATAAAAGGTAATCTTGACTATCTAGAAAACCTTTCCTAACAAAAATTTGACCAAAATCCATTTGCTAAAGGCTATTAACTCTAATAGCTGATGTTAGACTGTCTTTTAGACAAATCAAAGCTTTTCATTTCACTTTTAACATGGCATGTTTCCAGCTTTTAGTGCACACACAATTAAATAATGTGATGTAATAACAAAACAAGACATTTAATACTGCACTGCACATATTCATTAGGGATGTACAATATTTCAGCCACCATATCGGTATCAGTCGATATATGTTTGGTTTGATAATAAAATGGGCCGATATATTAAAGCCGATAAATAATGGATTTTTTTCCCTTCAGCTTAGACACTTCAGATGTTTGCCATAATGGTTTTAAATTGCTTGAAATAAAAATAAATAAAAATTATATACAAATTTGGATTTAGATTTATCGGCCAATTTATCGGGTTTTGGCTTTCAAATATAAAGAATGATCAGTTATCGGTGGCCGCAAAAATTGTCATATCAATGCATCCATAATATTCATACATGCATAAAATTGCTCGTTCCTTACCACTGTAAAGTTAAACTCAGAGCATTTCTAGGGTCAGCAGAGATGCCGTGCTGTTTGACATGAATGTGTTAAGATGCTCAAATGCATTTCCTTCACACCTGTCAGGACAGTAAAGCCTACAGCACTCTCAAAATATGTGAGAGTGCTGTCAGAACACCCCAGGCCTAATAGAGATGGAGGCATGGCATTTTCAAACACAACGAGACCATCTTTCTACACGGCCTGTCAGGGCAAATCAGAAGCATGGATCCATGAGAGAAAATCCTATGCCACCCATGGGCTTATGCTTACTATACATAGCTTAAAAAATACATTGTATGGTGGATGAGGTGGACACACTGATGTGCTTGCTTGCTAGAGTCAAAAGAGGACATGTTGATGTATTTATAATGAGACAGAGCCCTGAGACCTGTGTGTGTGTGTGTTTGTAGGCATGTGAGAAGGACTCTCAGTGTGGAGGTGGCATGTGTTGTGCAGTCAGCCTGTGGATCCGGAACTTGCGAATGTGCATCCCAATGGGTCAGATGGGAGAAGACTGTCATCCAATGAGCCACAAGGTTCATTTCCTCACTTTCCTCCTCACATTCATTATGATTTTTTGGTAACACTTTACTTGAAGGGGTGTGCATAAGACTAACATGACACCTTCATAATGTTATGAATATGAAGGAAGTTTTATGCATGTTTGTGACAACTGTCATTAAGTGTCATTTGCTCAGTTATGCCATTTTTAATGCAAATATGACATTGCTTGGGATGTCTTTGTTATGACACCTTGACATAAACCAATACATCATAACCTGTCAGAGTCTTTGTCATGACAACTTGACATTACTAAGATGACACAACCTGTCATAAACATGACAGCAGATTAATCCAAACTTAAGAAACCACCTCGCTTTATTGGTTAACATTATTAAACTGTCATGTGGTTGGTTTTGACATTGGCTGTCATGAAGCCATTATTACTTTTTAATGACAAATTCAATTAGTACCACTGTAGTTGAGGTCACAAAAAATATTCATGACGCAGTTATAATGGCCTCATGAGAGCCAATGTCAAAGCCAACCACATGACAGTTTAACTTCATTTAATGTCAAGTTGTCATGACAAAGATACTGACAGGTTATGATGTAATGGTTTATGTAAAGATCATAATAAAGACATCTTAAACAATGTCATATTTGCATTCAAAATGTCATTATTGAGCGAAAGTCACTTAATGACAGTTGTCATAAACATGCATAAACCCTACTTCATATTCAAGACATATGACATGGTTGTGAAGGTGTTATGTCAGTCTTATGCACACCCCTTCAAGTAAAGTGTTACCGATTTTTTTTAATGTTCCTGTTTTTTATATTCTTCCATTTCTATTTAGGTGCCATTTTTTGGGAAGAGGCACCATCATACATGCCCATGTCTGCCCAACCTAGCCTGCATCACCACAGCCGATGACAAGTACAAATGTCTCCCGCCATTTCCTTTCCAGGAGCAATACCTGTGATGAAGATGCTTGATCACTGAATGTTTGTATAAAGTGTATAGTTGTAAAAGTGTTTTAGATCTATTTATTTAATTTATTTAATCTTCATATAAAATGAAGAGAAAGTAAGAAAATTGAAATTATAGAAAATAAATGAGGTCATAAAATGCAAACAGTATTGGCAAAATGTCAGAATATGACCTAAATAAATATTACCATTGCACAAAAGGTTCTTTATAGTGGAAAAGGGTTCTTTAGATCACAGTAAGACAATGAAATGGTTCTTTTAGAACTGTTTGCTGAAAGGTACTTTGTGGAACCAAAAATGTCATCGCTGCGAAAATCCACTTTTGAAATATTTTTTTTTTTTAAATTGCCCCTACATGCTTTTTTGAAAATCACCTTTCATGCTGTGTGTAATATAACTGTTAGTGAATGTAAAAGGTCATAAAAGTTTTAAAGATCAAATTGCACAACAAATAATGTTATTGTCTCCTAAAAGAAAGAATTGATTCTGAACTGCCGAAACGAGTCCTCAGTAATTCCAGTCTGGCTTCCTGTTCCATACCTCCTTAACAATGCCAGCCTAGTCTTCATTGGCTTCCCACGAACAACGTCTACTTTGACCAGCCCTCAAACACTGTAGTTGTAGCTGAGGCCTGGAAGAACTTGGTTTGTGTCGTCAGCACAAACGAGTTTTCAGAGCTGTGAATCCACTTCATTCTAAGCACTACATGCGATTCTCGCGCTGGAATTGATAAGCGGTAGACCAATCACAACAGACTGGGCTGTAAGACCAATCAGAGCAGAGTAGGCTTTTGGAAAGGAGGGGTTGAATCTTCGAACAAACCATTTTTAAACTCTTTGAGAAATGAGATGATGTGCCGCGTATATTATGAGAACTTTCAAGTATTTTTTGACTTTGGATGTATGTAAACCTATTGTAGGAGACCTCCAAAGCCTTTTTCGAACAAAATTAGAAACCGTGGTAACACTTTACTTAAAGGGGTGTGCATAAGACTAACATGACACCTATGTTTATGACAACTGTAATTAAGTGTCATTCGCTCAGTTATGACATTTTTAATGCAAATATGACATTGTTTGAGATGTCTTTGTTATGACACCTTGACATTACTAAGACAACAAAACATGACATAGCAGATTCATTATCAAATTTAAGAAACCACCTCGCTTTATTGGTTAAAATTACATTAAACTGTCATGTGGTTGGTTTTGACATTGGCTGTCATGAAGCCATTATAACTTTTTAATGACAAATTCAATTAGTACCACTGTAGTTGAGGTCACGAAAAATATTCATGACACAGTTATAATGGCCTCATAAGAGCCAATGTCAAAACCAACCACATGACAGTTTAACTTCATTTAATGTCAAGTTGTCAAGACAAAGACACTGACAGGTTATGATGTAATGGTTTATGTCAATATGTCATAACAAAGACATCTTAATGTCATATTTGTATTCAAAATGTCATTATTTAGCGGTTGACACTTAATGACAGTTGTCATAAACATGCATAAACCTGTCATGGTTATTAATGTGTCATGCCAGTCTTATGCACACCCCTTCAAGTAAAGTGTTACCGAAACCTTTAAAATCACATAATGGGGCACTATTGTGAGTCCAGTATCAGATTATAATTCTACTTTTATAAATACCATGGTACTAAATGATTACTGTATTTATTTGCCATAGTATTTACAGTACATGACACTCCAAGGTACTTCAAATAATAGTGGCATTACTATGGGACAAGAAAATGCGCTACCTACCATGGTACTGTTTTGTAATACCGGTATATATATTTTTGGTGCATTTATCTTGCTATTTGACAGTAGATATAATGCAAATCAAATAACAATGAATATCGAAAGTATCCAAATACTCCGTGGCATTTTGTGTAGATTAGTGTTTGGGCTTATAGAGGATGTTGACGCACTCGGGCAGTACTATTCTTAAAATGCTTACTCTAGTATTCCTCACTTCAGTGTGTCATTGTGAAGGAAGTGTTCTGGGAGTGGGGCCACTGTCACTTTATTTCCTCTCCATTGATTGCAGCACTGAAGAACACTGAGTGCTGGAGCTGGAACACTGTGAAAACCTATCGTGTCTTTGTTAAAAGAACAAATATAAAAACTCTTCTGTAAGTTTTAAATAGGCTTTCCCTTTTGAAGAACCCTTTAAGTCCACTAAGGTTCAGTCGCTTGAACAAGATAAAGCGTACGTCGCATCCATAAATTGGAGAGAAGCTACACTGTGCTGTTGCATGCATAAAATATTCATGGCCTGCTTTTCAAGTAAATATGTCTTTCCATCTGACTATAACTGCTGTTTTAATGCACTAGATGGAAGGAGGCCAAAAAGAAGGCAATATGTGTGGTGCGTCTCACACAAGATGGGAATGCAGGGCAAATAGAAATGCTACCATTCTGATCAGCATGGCAAGACAGAAACTGCTCTAGTTTGATCATATATATAATTGATCAATGCATTGTGTTAACAGCTCAGCAGATTGTGGCCTATGTCTATCTCTCCTCTGGGCCTTCCATGGGCCGTTTAAATAAAACGCACCAATTAGCTGATGGAGCTTTTCATTCTATTGCTATGTAGAATGATCACAACATGAGTCAATAATGCCGTTTCTCTTCGTGAAATGAGCAGTTTGTGTTTCTTTCATGTTAGGATGACAAGAGGCTCTAAGAGGGAAAATTTAAAGGGATAGTGCACCAAAAAATGACTCGCCCTCTTGTCATTCCACACTGAAAAAAATAATATGCTTTATCTAATCAATAAAATTGTGGCAACATATTACAAGAAATATTATTAATTAAATTGTACAAATTAGAATTAATTAGAATGTATGTATGTATGTATCAATTCTAATTTGTTCAATTTAAAGTCCCCGTGAAATCAAAATTAAAACCTATTTATTTTGTTAGCACATTACTAGTCTTGTGGTGAACAATTAATCCGTGCAAGTAAATATATATTAAAAAAATGTTTTACCTTGGTAATCTTTAATCAAAATCTGAAAAGTTACTTCCGGTCTGGAACGGTTTCTTTTTCTGATGACGTAGGTTTCACAACTTGGGTGGGGAAACGCTTAACCACTCCCCTCAAACCATTAGTTTGCTATGAGCGGAGGAGCGCTAGAGTAAAACCCGGCCCTCTGTTCAATATTCCGTTTCACTTGGAAATGCGTCACAGCACTGGAGAAAAATCATTTGCAACTTCCGGTTCACGGGGACTTTAATAAATAATATTGCTTGTAATCTGTTGCCACAATTTTATTGATTAGATAAAGCATATTCATTTTTACAGTGCAAACCTGTATGACTTTAATCCTTCTGTGGAACACAAAAGAAATGTCTTGAAAATCATTAGGGTCCAAAACGTGGTTGAATTAATCATTAAAATAAAATTGGTGAGATATTTGTCAAAGAAGAAAGTCATGCAGGTTTGGAACAACAGTGATTTGTTTTAAATTATCCTGTTGAATGTATTCTGTATTTCCCTCACTGCAAAAACAATTTTGTATAAGTTATACAAGATTCATCTCATTTTTAAGTCAATTTAAATGAGAACTCCTGAGCAAAATGAACCTTTGGTCTAATAAAACATGGGTACCTAGTCAATCGTTCTCTGAGATTTGTTTTCATGATAATCGAACTAAACTGTTAAAAAAATCGAACTAAAGCGTATAATGCTAGTACTGGTGGCATTTAAAAGAAATCGCTAGTTTATACTACTAACAAGGCTCAAAATAGCCCCACACTAATGCAGTAACATAATGAGGGTCCATACATGCAAAACGAAGCATTGACAATGACAACTTAGTTCACTTTGTGTATACAGACAGGAGTCATCTTAGAAAATGGTCTCGATAAGTCGATCCCCGAAAGCCGTAAAAAATATTTTCAAGATTTGTTATCACAACATATTTTCTTTTGTCAAATCAACTTTAAAATAATTTATTTAGTTGAGATAACTTATTATTTTGAGTTTCTGATGGTTAAATTAATCTACTTCATTGTATTAACTCACTTTTTCCAGTTCAATCAACTTAAAATTTTAAGGCAACCAGGTTACTTACTTTTTTAAGTTAAACCATCAATATTTTTTTACAGTGTGGTATAAACTAGCGATTTCTTTTTGCTTAATTAATGTCCCCAGTACTAGCATTATACGCTAAACAGTTTTTAGAGATAAAACTCTTTTACATTCGATTATCATGAAAACAAATCTGAGAGAACGGTTGACTAGGTACCGATGTTTTATTAGACCAAAGGTTCATTTTGCACCGGAGTTCTCCTTTAATGCAATTTAAGTTGAAATGACTTAAACAACCAAGTTGATTGTACTTAAAAAAATTCTAAAATCTTTTTTTTTTTTTTTTACAGTGGTTAGAATTATTTATAGGCTGTAACTACATACTCGGTTTGGGTGGGATGTAATGTAATAATTTGAGAAAAAAGCAATAGTTGACTGCTAAGCTAAATATTAAGGGCAACACGTCACCTTGAATGTATTCCCTCTTCAGGTATTTCCTGCTTTGATGTATAAATCAGCTCTCTGGGAGGCACTGTTTACATTTAATGAAGACAAATAATCTTATTTCACATCTCTAGTGTCCTGCATTCATTCTGTCAGTGCAACACGCCAGATGACACAAATGGAGTCGTTCTGAGGGGAGGTTCAGGAAAAAAGGGCTCTGTATTATATAACTGTCTGTAGGATGGGGGGATGGAAACACAACCAAAATCTCCCTGGATGAGTGTGTCTGAAGCATCACATTACGGCTAATGAGATGGAGGCTTAGCACAATATGTACAAAAACCACATGTTTTACAGTACGTCCGTTTAGTCTGACGCGGCAACTTAATCCCCTTTTAATGCCTTGTTGGCCTTTTGCTTGCATTTGTCCTCACATTTGAGTCATGTATTGCTTAAGCACACCAACACAGTACATTTATAATCATTTATTTTAATTAAAATACAAATCATGGTCTGACCCATCAGCCAAATTTGCAGGTGTCCACTGAAAACTATTTTCCGGCATTTAAACGGACTGTGAGAGGGAATTGATTTATTCACATTTAGTCCATGTGATTGTAAAAAAAACACTGGCCATTATAATATGTTCACACAAAAATTCATAGCAAATATATTACATATTAGTTATAAAGAGTTCCAGAATATAAATAAATCATCTTTTTACATTATTTACATCGATATGTGGATTGCATAAAAGTGGATATGGATCTTCTGATATGCAACGTTGGTCTTTTTCACCTCTTACTGAAAGAAAAGATCACATGCTACAGTGGCCCCCCAAAAAAATATCAGAACATGTTAGAATGCATTGCATTAGATAACAAAATATCAAATGGCATTCATTTAATAAAAATAAAGCACATTAATGCAACAAAACTCAACTGGGTTTAAATAGGGGAGACAGGAGAGTGTTTTAACACAATCAGAAATGTGCTCACTGTTATACATGATTCTGGCAGCTGTAATACTTGATTGATGGTTATGATGAGGCAAACGTCTATGTTTTATGCATTTGTATATATGAATGTTTGAAATTTGATTATATTTCATATTTTTTCATGACAATTATATATATTTCCCCATTGTTTCCCTTTTTGGCAGTTAGTGATGGAGGTGGCATAATCATGATTTTAAACAAATATATCTGATTGCCACAAGAAATGAATGCACAAACGTTAATTATATAATATACTACATTACACCCATTCCCAGTAGAAGGGTGGCTTGTTAAATCAGTAGGCCTACTTGTAAAGTCAAGTAAAGTTTGTACTTGACATGAATTTATACTGTTTAGGGAGAAGTATGAGACTTTAATTTGAAGAAGACAAATATGGGGATATTCTAATCAAAATATGACGTTTAAACACTCCCCGGTCTCACTAGTAGCCTACATGTTGGGGCCACTGAATGTTGACGAGCAGGTAAAAACAAGTGAGTCGAACACTTCAAATCACACAGTATGGCTCCATGGGTGTTTGTGTAGTCAGGCAACACGGCAAACAGGCTCGGAATCTCATCCTCAACTCCTTATTGAATATGAAACATATGATGGGATTCGCCCCCGCTTGGGCGAACGTCAACCACACGGCCGCGGTCAGGAACACCTGAGGAACCGCGTTTCCCTTCACAAACACCCGGATGTAGCACGAGACAATGTAAGGCGCCCAGAACAGCAGAAACGCCAGCGTTATCATGTAATACATCTTTCCAATCCGTTTCTCCATCTTGAACTCGTCCAGCACGAGCAGCCTCCGGTTGGCGTTGTGCGACGCTTGTCTGATGCCCACCAACGTCGGCGGCGTCGGACCGCGTCCAAACCCCGCGATCCAGTTGGCGGCGGCCTGGCCCGTCGCGCCAGGTCCGTGAAAGGTCCAGTTCTGGCTGATAGCCGGAACCAGCTGCGCGGGTTTCATTTTACGGTGGTCGTAAACAAAACACAGCATTTTGACGTACACGACGTGCGTCGTGGCCACAATCACAGCCAGCATGAGCATGAAGCCCAGCGTGTCGTTGGCTTTCACGTACCTGTGCTCGAATACGCACTGCTCTTCCTCGCGAATAAATTTGTAGGTCCCGACGTCGAAGACAGGTGGAAATGCCATGGCGACTGAAAGCGTCCACACCATACATATCACCGCGACGCATGTCCAAAGCGTCATGCGTTTGGAGTAGAACCTGTGGTGCGCGATGGCCATGTAGCGCGTAACGCTGACGCAGAACAGGAGGAACGCGATGTGGAAGCAGAACAAGACGGCCATGAACGCAATGATCTTGCAGCCGAGGATGCTGTAGCTCCATAGGGAGCCGCTGTTGATGGAGATCATCACGAACGGGAAGCACACAGCCGAGCGGATGATGTCTGCGACGCACAGGTCGAGGAGGAAGTAATATGGAGCCTTGTGGAGCGAGCTGTCTTTCAGCACCAGCACGGAGAGCACGGTGTTGCCGAGCAGGCTGATGCAGGTGATGAGCCCCAAAGACGCCAGTTTGACCGCAGACGCAGTGATGGCATAATTCTGGAGCGAGGGGTTGCTTCCCCCTGGATCACTTGTGTTCGCCATCTGTGCAAGCACAACCCAGCCTGGGCTTTGTAATCCGACATTAAGCAGTCCTGGTACCCCAGTTTGATATACAAAATATCAGCCGTCAACAATCAGTTGAGTCTTTTATATGACCATACCTCTAGCCGTTTGGAGATCCAAGACATCGTTTTGTTCATGTCAGCGACGCACGATTCTTCATTCCTCAAACCAGATGCTGGGTAATCCATTATTTGTCGAAGAAAATACACCCTAATAAACACGTATCCGTCTCACTCTCCATTGATCCCATCGACGATCTGAAAATCGCGCTCGTGTAGGCCGAAAACAACCCAAGATGCTTCATCAAAACATTATTTTTTGAATAACCAATAACAGTACGTACGCATCCTGTCTAGTGTGGAGATCGCGGCGGAGCGTGTAGTCGTCTTGGTCTTGTCTAGTGCGTTCTTGTTTGGGGGGTGAGTATTATGGGAACCTCCGATGACAGCAACGGTGGGTCCGTCTGGAGAGCGGTGCGATTCTGACAGTCTACACTGGAAGCAGCCGATGACGCCTCGCGACGCGTCGCGCCGCAACGGCTCGAGGCTGTCTACACTGAAGCTGCGCGTCATCTTGGGACGTTCGCTTACGCGGTCCAATCAGCTGTTAGTTCGATGACTTAGACAACAGTTAAATAAATGTATACATCTTTATATAAAGCCTGGGCTACTTTCTATAGATAGCATAAACGTCTTTGTTATATGCATATCTGTAGCATAGGCCTACTAAAATAAAATAAAAATATTTTTGCAAAAGACTAAAAAAAACAAATGAACTGGAAAAAAACAAACGGCGTAATGAAACGGCGAAACGGCCAGTTCTTTATGTTAAATCCATCGCTATCTGAGAAGGTTAATTTACATTAATTCAACAATGATCAATTAACAATTGTAGTGGCACATGAAATTAAATATGTTCGGACACTTAAGCCACACTTTTAATGTCTGAGTGTCACTGCCTTATAGCTTATAGAAAATCTTTTAATGTCTGAGAAAATCTTTTAATGTCTGAGTGTCACTGCCTTATAGCTTATAGAAAATCTTTTAATGTCTGAGAAAATCTTTTAATGTCTGAGTGTCACTGCCTTATAGCTTATAGAAAATCCACAAATCTTGACTGTAAAATATCATACTACAGGACCAGTTTTGGACAGACAACCTTCTCTGTAAAGAGTTCTAAACTCTGGAACTCTTTACCTTTTGAAGTCAAGACTGTGTCAGACTTTAAGATGTTCATTTCCAGGCTGAAAAATTGGTTAAAAATAAACCAAAACTGTACTCATTTTTAACTACATTTAATTATTGGAGTTGTATATGATATGTATTTATGCTTATTAGTATTTTTATTATTAGTATTATTATTTTTTTTATTATTATTTTTTTTTTTATTGAAGTAGCTAATCATGTAAATTTTATTCTGTATAAAAGCCCTTCCAGGGACAGGAGTTGAAAATTAGCTATAGCTATAAACTTTATATGCAACACTTCAGTGACATGCTTGATCTTGACACTATGTTTGTTTGCATTGTCCCTGTCAAATAAATAAATAAATAAAAAATAAAATAAATCTTAAACCAAGGGGTTCTGCAAACTAGCTTTTCTCAGAAGAACTATATGTTTGGCTACTTAAGCCATTTTTGCACTCTAAAAAATGCTGGGTTATTTCAACCCAAATTTGGGTCAAATATGGACAAACCCAAATGTTGGGTTAAAAAATGTAATATAAAAATTACAGTTGAAAGTGAAAGTTGAAGTTGGGTTGAAATTTTAAATTAAATTTTTAACCCAACATTTGGGCTTGTCCATATTTGACCCAAATTTGGGTTGAAACAACCCAGCATTTTATAGAGTGTGCGATTACTTTTAAGAAACGGGTCCCAATGTCAAATTTATTGGATGTACGCCTAGTAGAGTAGGCCTATATTTACACAGTATTAACACAGTTCTTGGTGGAAACTCATGCAGTGTCGTTTAAGGTGAAGGTAGAGTGAAGGTGGGCGGAGCGCTGTCCGAGGTGCTGAAGTGTTATTATGATACCTGTGAGTCAGCGCGTTGTTGACTTGATATAGTTACTAAACCCGAGAAGAGTAATAGAAAGAAACCATTTGAAGTCACATTGTGACATGAGAGAGGGAATATGTCAAACAAATGTCCAAGGCAATTCGTGTGCCTGAATCCATGGTACTTTCATTTCCAAGAGAGAAGCAGCACCAGTCAGTTTTGTGATGAATAGCGTCATCTAGTGTTCAGATATTGTCATGCAATTAAGCATAGTTTCAACTATCACTGCAAACAATATATTTAATAGCAATCCTGTTAAAACTAAATATTAACCCAAGTGACATTCATCGTAAAGAAAATGACCCCAAAAATATTTTGACACTTGATTAAATCACACTTTAAAAGCCATTGCATGAGATAAAAAATATTAAACCAAGTGATTACAGATGAAGAACAAACACAAATACTTACCGAACAAATTGATATTGTGATCAAATTCGTAATTAAACATCATAACTATTATAAATGTGTGTGCAGATTAATGAGGGGCCCTTCTTCCTGACCAAAAGTCCAGATTCCTGCTAGAGTGGCATTAAGGTGGAAGGCCCAGTTTTTTCCACCCCCCTTTTCTGATCATACCCAAAAATGCTCCTTTCACTTTAAAAAAAAAATTTGCTGATAATTTAGTCACCCCCATGTCATCCAAGATGACCATATCTTTCTTTCTTAAATCAAAAAGAAATTAAGGTTTTTGATGAAAACATTCCAAGATTTGTAATATACGTAATGTAATGGATTTAGACTTCACACCAAACGATTCAAGGTCCAAATGAGAGTTTCAGTGCAGCTTCAAAGGGCTTTAAATGATACAAGACGATGAATAAGGGTCTTATCTAGCGAAACGATCAGTAATTTAAAAAATAAATAAAAAACTTTACGTTTTATAAGCACAAAATTGCCTTGCTCTGTTCTGTGATGCGCGTCCGTGACTCTCCTGTTCGAACTCGTTCATCAAAATGAATGAATCTTTTTTTTTTTTTCGAAATGACTGCTGGTTTGTGAAGTGAGTGAACAATTAGCATCTCACAAAAAAGTTCTTAGGAAAAACTGTTTTTAGAGCTCTTTTGTTCTGTGCTCTTGTCTAAAGTAAGACATACATTATATAAATTATGTAGCACTACATTTAGTAGAACAAATCAAACAAACTATTGTAACAGTCATTAAATGGTTCCTTATGAATGAAATTGCATTGCATTAGTGACGTCACTAAAGCCATAGGTGTTGACAGCCACGAGTGTTGACAGACACTGCCTAAGTGAGACACGGCAGGCAAAAACATTGATTTTTCATGCAGTGATCAGTTTGGATATTTTGGGCTAGTTTACTCCTTCAATATGTGTCCTTTCAAGCTGTTATAAAGAAAAAGTTGGAAATATATATTAATGTGTTTATTTTATTACATTTAGTTTACTTGTGGCCAGGGCCTGAAGTTAACTTTTTCGGCCACCGGCCACTGTGGCAGGTGGATTTAAAAATTCACCTGCCACAGAGACTTTTTACCTGCCACAATATTGTTCTTTAACTTGTAAGAATACACATTGAAGTGCTGTCAAGTAATAATAACTCTAAGAACATAAATGTTTATTTATTGATTTTGACACACACACACACACACACACACACACACACACACACATATACAGTATATAAATGCTATATAGTATATACTCAAAAGCTAGCTCGTATGTAAACAAATCACAAACGGCTGTGTTGATGGCTTATTTAGTCACTGTAATAGATGTGACCAGTAAAGGATAAAAGAACAAGGAGGCAGCAGGCTATTGCAAACGTTTAGGGGTTTATTTCCACGGGATGGGGTTACAAAAGTAAAGCCAATGCTAACCCAATGGTGGTAAACCAAACATACCAAAAATCAAATAACAAATAAAAAACATACAATAGCGATGAGTCACTGCATTTGCCTCTCAAACATTTACAGAGGTCAAGGGTTTACAGAACCTGTTCTCTCACAGAACACTAACTCACACGGTTGCCAGCACCAATTAACACATAGGGGGATACACAGACATATAATGGCCATTACACACAATAAACGAATATGAAAACACCCAATATACATAAACAAACGCCTCAAATAATACTATCAGATGACTTCACTTAATACTTCTTATAAACAAACAAAAGAAAAGCAAGTAAAATAGTCCTTGGAGTTCCCCCGGAGAAGAAACCGGAATGGTTGTGGCCCGATCAATGGGAACCATATATATACGTCCAATGTTTCCACTAGAACCCCTTTTGATGGTGCACCAGCGCACGGACTTCAGATGTGTCCATCAAACAAACAAACAAAAAGAACGGTAAGAATAAACTTAAACTAAACGTTAAAGAGTGTGCTCACTTAACTCCAAACAAAAGTTTAAATAAAGTTTAATAAACCATACTAATGTTGTTGTGTATTTTTTACTGTAAACAAATTCTATTAGCGTTAAAAACTCACACACTGACCTGATCCACTGGCTCACCAACATCCGCCACAGTCACGTCGACAGGTCTTAACAGCTTTTAGTTACAGTGTTCAGGAAACTATGAACTAAATTAATATTGTTATTACTGGTAGAGTTACCGGGTACCGGACATTTTCTCACCGGTTCCCAACACGCACACACGCACATCTGTGCAACTGTCATTGTACTGTAGCCTACGTCAGCGTTACATTATCTCATCCCATCTCACCAACAGTTACTCGCACATCCAAATGTAGTCAGAAAAGGGCCTCATCTTCTTTCTGATCGCATGAAGGTTACGAAACAACAGTCGTAATGGAGTCGCAACGGTATTATTAAGGGCCTGAGCATTTATTCTGTTTGAGCAAATTTTTTTTTTTTACAATAGATGATATTTGTGAAAATCGATTTTTTAATGGTATGGACAGAATATTTTGATTTCCTTGGTAATAAAAGCATCCTGCAATCCCTCTGAACTTTTTTTTATCTTGTCAAAATGAAAAAAAAAAGTGTACCTGCCTTTATCATATGTTTAGGTCTACCGAAAATATGCAAAATTGAGATAATGCCTAATTTTCATAATCAGACATACACATTTAAAAAACGTATAAAAATGTTTATATATATATATATACTTGTAAGTAATAAACTGAGAAAGCTTTATGATGATGTCTATTATTTAATTTTTTTTTACCCTATTCACCTGTGTCTCGCCTTAACAAGAAACCTGAAAGCATTGTTAGCCAACTATTGTTCCATCGTTCAGTGATTCTTGGGAATTTGGATAAAACGGGTTTTAATTTTGAAAATAAAAAGTTAGTTAAATTACAAAATCTGAAGGTATATCATTATAAAGCAAGGTCTTGGCTGTTCAGCAATGCACCGGTGCAACCTCCTCATTTTGTATTTTTTTCATAAAATAGGCGTTTCTCCAGTTATCACTTTGTTTTTGTCAACACCGTCAGACAAAATAAATAGCAAATTATTTTTTATTTGTTTGGTCTAATATGTATTTAGAGTTTTT